TATTTTTTTTTTTAAGTTATAGCCTTCAGCAGAATTTGTATTTTAACCTTCCTAGTCTTTCATTACCTCAGTGTGTCTGCGCTCTCAATATCAACTTAGTCTCAGTCAAAGACATTTTTCTTTTTAAAGTTTTTACTGTTTTCCAGACATGAAGGAGAGGTGTTTGACTTTTTCCTTAACTTCTTACACAGGGTGAAGGCCCTGAACATGGTTTAACCAGAGAATGAGAATCAGCAAAGTCCAATGCCTGCAACCAATGCTAGTCTAATTTATTGGCTGTAGTGAGTTGCATGGGCTTCACTGCAATTACATCTTTCCTAACCCATTTTCAGCACAAACCCTGGAACACAAATAGTGTTTAGAAGATTTGAGAGAGCTTTGTGCAGTATTGCAGGCAAGGCAGTGAATATCATAACTTCTTGGAAAGCTCACAACTCCCTTCCTCAAGTGACTTGTCTCCCTTTATGAACAAAAAAGACTGTAGCTTAATCTGAATAAAAAATTATTTCAGGTTATTTGTGGTAAATTGTCAAGAGAATGCTTTTGCAGGGTCAGGAGCAAACGAACCAACACCCACAGGGCCTTTGGAACAGGTAAAGTCTGAAAATGTTAAATCCCTGAATAAGGTGTCTGTCCCTTTAGTTCATCTGTCCTTTCCCCATGTCAGGCTGAATAAATTTTATTCTGCTTCACAGGCAGAGAAAGGTCAGGATAATTCTGACGTGTAATGAATCTCCTATTTTGATCCAAAATCAGATGGGCTTCTCAGCACATAATTCCTGGCTGAGCATGTTATTGTGTGGATTGGTCAAAGCAGTCTCTCACTGCATGCACTAACTGCAGGATGCTTTCTTTGCAGCATCTCCCCCACAGTTACTGGTTTTGCTGCTCCTCATATGTGAATCTCCTTTGTTCCTGGTCAGATTAGATGAGGTAGAGCAAAAAGGAGATGCCAAGAGTGGAAACAGGCATATATGAAAGACCTCTCACTGCTGTTTCTGCTAGGATGCTGCTGAAACAGTGAACAAGAGTGAGGATTAGCAGAACAGGAGATCGATGCTTGTGTCCTCACATGAGGTTATTGCTGCCCTTGTACAGCTGCTAATGGCAGCATTTCCAGAGCCAGAACACATCTTCCCAGTCCTCGGCGTCTACACTCTGCCTCCAGCAGTATATCAGGTATTTTACCAGAGGAATGTGGTTATATTTTGTTCTGAGTCTCACATGGCTGGTCTCTACTGTGGAAGCATTCTGTGCCTGCTCATAGACCACCCTGTTGCCCCAGCAGTGGCTGCAGCCCCTGCCATTGCCTCACGACAATGCCACTGAGCGTGTTCAGTGCCTGTGTTGTGATCTTAGAGCTTGGTCTGGATGCTGGGATGCTTCTGTCATGCTTTGCCGGTATAAAATTGTAGCAAACCATTTTGTTCGTTGAACTGGGACACTGGGCATTTGTAACTCCTGACTGGACACCTGGGTGCTTTCCATGCTGCACAGCAAAGCGGATCACAGCGTGCAGTGAAGGACCTGCACATGCTGCTCTCTCGCTACACCAGGGTCAGCCCATGTGGCAAGACCTACGGACACAGAAGTCAGTCCTGGAGAAAGCGCAGTGCTGAGTAAAGACAATAAATGCTCAGTGAGACTGGATGACATGCTAAAGATTTTATCATCAATAAAACTTCAGGTTTCAGGCTGACTATTTTTAATATATAGGCTGCTGCAAAATTGATTAATTTACAGTGTAGTAATTTCAGAGTATCCTGAGACAGGGTGATAGAACTGCATCTGCTGTCCCTAAATAGTCTGTATGCTTGCAACAGTGTCTACATTATGTTTAGGGATAAGCACAGAATCAAAAGGGGAATCGATAAGGAATGTCTGCAAGATTGCCTGCAGGAATATGACTGAAGTGAAAAGCAAACTGTTTGTTCCATATTTCACACATTGTGCTTTCATTTATTTCTTCATCCTTCCCTCCACCCCCAGCTTTTCCATCTTTTTCCTACAAGGCATTTCCTGCTCTGTTTTTGCTGTCACTTGTCTATTCCATTGTGCCTGCTTTCACCTCAATTTCTAGTGAGTTCAAGAAAACTCTGTCGGGGCTTTTCTTTTTTTTTTTTTCTTTTCTCTTTTTCAGCCCTTTGATGCCTTCAGGTTTATTCTGCAGGGATCAGCAATCAGCTTTGGGCTCACTTTTCCAGCTCTGCCCTTAGCGACCACAGGCCTGTTGCAGAGAAGGGAAGCCTTCCTGGCGTGGTGTGTAATGGAGAATATAGAAGCTTTGCTGCTCTTTACAGCCAAGTCTGCAGCCTGGCCCTTGTATCTTGCAGGCTTAGATTAAGCAGAAAGTATCTTGTTTTGACTCCCTGGCACATTTTGTGAAATCAAAAGTACTGCTACAAACCTGATGCAACTTGTTTGTTTATTACACAGGTGTGAATGACCAGTGCGCGTAGATGGTAATTATCAGGTATGAGATTTGAAAACCATGTTTGTTAGGTAAGTCATAACAGCAGCTAATTCTTGTCCAGAATAAATGCCTTTTTTTCTAGATGGCAGTGTCAAAAGACAGACTAGGAAAAGGGGCACGCAGGAACAAGACAGTGCTCGGTCAGATGGCTTCCAGTGCCATACAGTGACGTGGGGGGTGTTCCTTACATTGGCGTGGAATTCCTTACGTCTTTTTAGTGGGATTCGTTTAAAAGGAAATGAATGCATGAAGAAGGGAAGGAGAATGCTGAAGGCAGGACAGAGGCAGAAGGAAAGGTAAAGGGAAGGGCATGAAAGGTGGAGGAGAGCAGTGCGATTGAGGTGAAAAGGCTGAGTGAGGGAAGAAGTTATTGGGAACACCAACCAGTGCAGAGCAAGGGGATTCCTGCCAGAGCGCTGCCACACCAGGCTGGCATGGCTTTAGGCCGCAGCCAAGGCTCTGCCAAATCCCTGTGTGATTCTTGCCTGATTTTACTTGATGATGATGCAACCCAGTTAGTGACATCACAGAAATACGCCTACCAGTGGTGTTGCAGAGTCTAGATTGTGACCGGCAGATTAGTCAGTGGTGTCACAATCCAGTGTTTATATCATTGTCTCCTGAATGTGGAAGAGATTGCTGTGGCGATAACCAGGTTTTCATCAGTGTATCAGGCTGTTAAGAAAAGTCATCCCTTTTGCAAAGGCAAACACCTTTGAGTTATTTGGAATAAAATCATGGTAAACTCAAGTTAAGTAGGAATACCAAGCGTGGTACATTACTAAGATTTTAGCAATTTGGGTGCAATGTAAACATGTGACTGAACTTCAGCACGTATTGCATCTGGGTCACCTACGGCTACAGGGCAGTATTATATTTTATTGTTAATGAAAAGTTTGCACCTGTGCCAAAAAGCAATGATTGTGTCTGCATATCCCAGAATTCTATGAACAGATGCAGGGAATGTGAGGACTGAATGACACCTAACAAAGCCAGCAGTCCTTCCCAGAGCTTATGATTTGGAGCTAGTTTTGTAATTTCTGTTGGAAGCAAAGTGAGTTATACTTGTTTGGAAAAATATAACTTTCTGACATCTTCATCAGATTATAGTATTTTTTTTTTCATATGTGAGGACAGATAAGAAATTCTTTTCTACGTAATCTTGAATTAGATTTTTTAAAACTGTTTAAAAATGTGGAATACCATTTACTGCATGTCATAAAAAACAATTTACATCATTTCACTTTGTAGAGATCCTACTTCAGTAGTGAACGAAATTTTATCTTTTGCCATGCTAGTGGCAATGTTTGCAGATCTAAACAAAGCATTTTGTTTCTAGAATGCTAGTTTGTAATCCAGTCAGAGGATATTAAGCAACCTCCAGGATTACACCCTTAGTTTAAGTTTGTTCTCTTCAGTTTCCTATTTCCTTTGGTTGGCTGCTTGAATTGTCCTTCTATAATTTTGCATTGGAGTATATCCTGTACAAATAGGGAAGAGATTTTGACCTAGAAGGAGAGACCTCTTATTAGTTAGCATACTTTTAAATTACAGTAGCTATCTGAAGCATCTTGACATATGATAGATAGCATCGTTGCTGTATGGGTTTGATTCAACTTGTTACTTAAACAAGCAACCTCCCACCCTTATTTCTCAAGGAGAAACTGAAGATCTTTCTGATTTAACTTCATGCATGCCACTTTGGATATATCTGGTGTGTTTGTGATGTTGGTGCTCGTGTTAAAGTGGATGCATTTGCAGCAGTAACTGCATTGTAAACCTGCCTTTCTCCACAAACCCGGGTTCATCTGTGAGGCACCGAACGGCACATGGATCCACTGCCCTTGGGCAGCTGCTATAGTGCTTGTGCAAATGCACGGAATCCGTCAGGTTGGAAAAGACCTCTGAGGTCACTGAGTCCAACTATGACCAGTCACCACCCTGTCAACTAGACCATGGCACCGCCTGCCTGTCCAGTCTTTCCCTGAACATCTCCAGGTGACTCCACCACCTCCCTGGGCAGCCCCTTCCAATGTCTATTTCTATGAAGAAATGGTCCCAAACGTTCAATCTGGGTCTCCTCTCCGCAGATTAAAATTATATTAAAGACAATTCGTACAACTGTGTTTCGTTTAGATTTTCCTAAAAGTGGGTGAAGTACATGAAAAAAAAAGTTGCATGGGACGGGAGAGAGGAAGAAGGGAAGCAGTTTTAGCGCAAGAAGGATCCCAGGGTACTTCCCCCGTCCCCCAGCGTGAGCCCCAGTGCAGGGGCGGGTTCCGGGGGGTGGCAGCCGCTCTGGGGCTGCCCCGGGAGCCCCCGCTCCCCGTCCCGGGGGTCTCTCCCGCCGCCCGTCCCGCTCCCTCAACGCCCTCCAGACTCCGCACGCGCGCCGGCCCCGCCCCCCGCGCCCGGCCGCCCAATGGGCGCGCGTTGGCCCCGCCCCCCGGCCCGCGGCAGCCAATGGGGGGCGCGGCGCGGCGCGCGGCCACCTGCGGCTGCGGGAGCACCTGAGCGGGCGAGAGCAGCCGACAAAAGCCGTGGGAGCGGCGGTGCAGGCGCTGCTCGTCCCGACCCGCCCGGCCAGTTCTGCCGCCCGCTGCCAGACATGACACAGGACTACGACAAGTGAGTGAGCCGGGCGGGGGAAGAACCACCGCGGCCGGTCCGACCGGTGTCGCCGCCCCGCCGGGGGGCTGCGGCTAGAGGGGCTCGCTGCCCGGGGCCGGGCCGGGGGAGCCGCTCTGCCGGGGTCCGCCCCTCTCCGTCCTCTCTGCGGAGGAGTGACCGGAGGCTGCGGCGGGGCGGTGCGAAATGGCGGGGGGCGAAGGGGGGAGGGCTGAGCCCCGGAGGGGGGTCCTGCGGCGCCGCGGGGCGACCCCGGCGGCCACTCCGCCCCGCGGGGCGAGCGGCGAGGCCGGGCCGGCTTTGAAACCCGATCCCCTCAGCGAGGCGTGGGGCCGCCCCCCGCCCCGCGGGGCCGCGCCTTAAATGCGGGCGGCGGCGGCGGCGGCCGCGCCGTCGGGAGCAGCGGGCGCGGAGCAGCGCCGGGAGCCCCCTGTGCCGGGGCTGAGGGACCGGGCCGAGCCCCCGCGCCGCTGCCCGGCGGCCGCAGCGGCCCCCATGGACTTCTACGAGGCGCATCCCTCCGGCAAGGTGGACTTCGGCAGGTAAGGGGAGCTCCCGGCGAGCTCGGCTGCGGCGACCCCGGAGTAGCCGAAACTGGGTGCGGAAAGAGTTAAACTGAGCTCGAGGTGTGAGTGCTGTAACTCCGTGGCGGTGAATGTGAGACGTCGCCTTCAAGCGGATCCCCGGCGGTGTTTAAAGATTCGTGTCTCTTCCTGCACCTGTCACCGTGTCCGTCTGTAGACGGTGGCCATGGGCGCTCGAATGCCAGAGTATGGGGTAACTCTGAACAGATTTGAAGAATCCATTATAAAATTTCTACACTTTGAATGGTTGATGACTCAACACACTCCTTTCCTAGGGAAAGCATAGGTTTTTACCGAAGTTTTTATTTCAATATGCTACCGTATAAAGAGGACTCCAGTGCAGCAGCTCGCTAACTCGCGTCTGTGATTAGGATTTTTCATAGGTGTTCTTATTTCCAGTGACACTTAGTATATAAGGCCGTAGCAATTTGGTTACGTGCACTTCGCTGTTCTGGCACGCAGGAGATGGTGAGGGAAATCCTCGGTGCTGCCTCAGCATTAAAGGTGTGCGCTGTGCGGGAGCAGCTACAGCGCGGCTGGGCAGCCCTGAGCGTCGCCAGGTAAATTGCAGGGTGAGGGAGAAGGCGGCAGGATCCTGGATCAGCGAAGTACGTAGGAATAGTTTCTGTGATCTGAACACAAGAGTGTTGAGGGCTAGGGGATCATTGCAGTCAAAGAGAGAGCATCTGCTTTTTGTAATACTTCTCTGCTCCCACTGGATTCACGGAGAAAATAAAATTCAGAAGTTATTAAAACTGCAGTAAGAAACTTAATTCCAACCTTTGCTGGACGCATCTACTACTTTGTAAGCAAATCCTCATGCCCGTTATCTTTTAAAACTTTGGAAAAATATGTTTGCCTTCTATTGTTAATATGTTCTTGCTTTCCTGAAAGAAGCTGTGTTTTTCCTAAAGGATTACATTCCTGCCAAACCCTGCACTTCTCTTGGTAATTCTGCAAATAATTTTTTCTGCGCTGTCTGTAGTGTGGTGCATTACCTGTAGGGCAACGTGCATTATATTTGTGTGTTTCAATAACAAGTCACACCAAAATATGTAGGTTTTGCATTTGCTATATTTCTGGTTAGTTGCTCCTTTAGTTCTCAGTATTTTTGGTTCTTCCTTGGTTCTCTCTTCGCATGTGAGTTGCTTTGCCAGAGGGAATCAGCTTAGTGCTGTGAGTTCCAGCAAGGCTGACTTATCCCTTCAGCTTGGCAGGGATGGATCAAGTGAACTGCACCCAGGTTACTTCCAGTTACCTTTTCCCTATGAGAGTGTAACTGGAGGACTTACCTGTTTGTGATGGATATTTGAGGCTTGTTTTATCACACTGTGTAAGAATAGGAGCTTGTATCATGTCCCCGAAGAAAATTCTGCTTTGTCCTCTGTTGCTCCCCTGACTTTGATAGAAGAAAGATGTCCTCAATACCAGAGGTATCTGCATTTTGTTGTGTACACAAATACATATAGAGACCTAAAGAAAGGGCTTGGTGCAAGAGCTTGTCTCCTTTGTCGTCGTTGTTTGCTTTTTGCTAACTGTATAGTACTGATTTATAGCCACGAAGTGCTCTTACAAGTCCTGGAAACTCCCAGTTGCTTTCAGTGTCTTCAGCTCAGCCAAGCTGTCCGATGGAAGCTCAGCAAGATGACTTGTGTAACTGATAAAGCATCGAACGCGTAATTTGCTTTGCAATCTTTTTGGTAGAAGGTGGTGATAAATGTAGGATACTGCTAAGCTGATTATAGTGATTAGGGTATTTCACAACTTTCTATTTCACAACTTTTTGTACTTGTAGTATATTTCAGTCCCTGAATGCATCTGGGTAAATAGATGCAAAGAATGCTTATCTACCGGGGAAAGCGTGTGATGGTGGTGGGGAACTGCTTTTTGTGGGGTTAGTTATTTTTAAATAATTATTTAATAATTTTTAAACTATTACCAATTCATTAAAAATTACAAGTTTGGGATTATTTAAGAAAATAAAGAGGCCTTCCCTTTTCCCTCAACCAGTCTGCAGTAAATTAATATTACACTTGCACTGGAAAGAAAACTGTTTGAACTGGTTTGAAAGTCAGATTTAAACTTTATCTTGAGCTGACTTGCAAGAAGAAGCATATATTTTACCAATAGAACAACAACAAAAAAAATACTACATTGTCTGAGCTGTCAGGACAGCATTTTCTGCACGTCTCGCTTTTGCCTGTGGGCAGAAGGTCCAAGTTATGTTGGAGCTTTCTTGTTCCCAGCAATCTCAAAATGTTCAGAGTAAATATAATTCCTCTTTTATATATTGGGACATAAAGGGAATAACTCAGATTTTTTTTCTTTTTTTCTTCACTTATCTGTTAAGGGCATTTCAAACTAGTGTAATGGATTACTTCAACAGTAACCAGGCAGTGAGTCTTTTGGTTTCCTTTGTCAGAGTAAAACCCTGCCGTGTTGATTTCAAGTCCCTTTGACCAATTTCCCTGTGTAGTCTGTAACTTATGGGTAGCTTCTAGGTGGTGTTTTTAGATGTATTCTGGGAGCGAAGACACTTGAAAGCACTGGAGGAAAGAGATGTGTCGTTAATTCACATTTTCTAGTTCCACGTGGTAACTGGAACAGGTTGCAGCTTCGCAGTATTGCATAGGAGGCTTGATAAGTGGTAGGTAGTGTGTGTGTAACTCTTTTTGGGTTGGATTCAGAGCATGAGCAGGTCAGGTGCGGTCTTAAACAGCTTTGCCTTTTTATGTAGGCTGGTGTAATCCATCTGAGTTTGGTCAAATTAATCTTGATTTATACTGAGCATGAGTGAGATCAGAATTAGGTTTCTGGGCTTTTTGTGTTGACTAATCCTTGTAGTATACTGAATCAGAGTGTGAACTCTGTGAAACTGGGGCAGCTTATTTTGAAGAACTTTAGGAATGTTTTTCATGTGTTCTAACAGGTGGCTTTCTTTATTTCTTCTTTTCTTTTTATGATTCAAGTAAAAGACCCGTGTTGGTTCTTCAGAATGATTCTCTCTACTCTCAGAGACGTCCTTACACCAATGAAGATGAGGCCTGGAAAACCTTTCTTGAAAATCCCCTTACAGCAGCTACCAAAGCTATGATGAGCATCAATGGGGATGAAGACAGCGCAGCTGCCCTGGGACTGCTGTATGATTACTACAAGGTAGATTGGCGTGGGTACGCTCTGGCAGCCAGAGGAACTCTTGTTCCACCTGTGGGAAAGGTGTCATTTGCTAGAGGATTTGACAGAAGCTATGAATAGATCATGAGGACTTTAAATGATGTGGTTTTCAAAGGGAAAAAATTCCACTTCTCTCCTTCTGAAATCTGGTTTATTTTTAGCTCAGTAAAATAAGATCCCCTGGAACTTAAATGTGAAGGTTTGGTAGCACTTTGCTGCTTTTCAGCTTCCACAGCACTTTCTTCGCCTCTTGACCCTGGGCTCTGCAGAAGACAGCGAGTTAGAGAAATAGTCATGAAGAATGACACTTTGGTCCATATCCCTGTCTGAATGTAAATGTACATGGAGAAAGAAACTGCTTTTGCTCACATGGTAGACCACTGGCTTTTGCTGGAGCTTTGTTGTGTTGCCTTAGTCTCAGCTGATACTAAGTTATAACTACAGATTCTTGGTGGTATGTGAGGCAAAAGTGTCTACCTGAAGGAGTTGCTATCTGCATCTCCCTAACCCTCCGTGAGCTTCAGCTACTGTAATCTGTTAATCCTTTGGCAGTTGTGGTTCTCTTCCCCAGCATTCATGGTCTTCTCAGAGACACGTGCCTTCCTGGTTGCTCACAGCTGACTTGAGCAGTCAAACAGATTCTGGTCTGCAAGGGGTGCATTTTGCTGAGCTTTCTTTCCTAAATACCAAAAGTATAAGCCAGGGTAGTTGTCTCCAGTCCAGATCAGTAGAGACTAGCAGGCATTTCCAGGCAGGGAGGGGTCCTGCTTGTGTTCAGACAACTGTGCTGTGGTGGCCTGGCTTACTGGGTGGAGATGCCTGTTTTTTCTTTGCTGAGCGTGCAGGAGTCTGATTTGGCTCTTGTGCCTGGCATTTTGGCCAGTGCCTTTCAGCCTTAGTGAGTGGAGGTGCCAGCCTGAATATGTTCTTCAAGCACAAGGAGAAGTTGCCTGGTGCAGACAAAATCCTTGCCTGCCTTTTTTAGAAGTTGAACACGTCGTATGTATCAAAATATTCTTGTAATGCTTAATATGGAGATTAACACTCCACACACACACGACAGAATGCCACAGACTCACTGATGTGGATGTTATTTTTGTGAGAAAACTGGCTTTCTGCTTTGTGCCCGTGCTTGCTATGCTTTTGGGGGAAAAAAAAGGAAGAAACAACAACATGCTTTCACTGGAACAATTTTAATCCGCAAAATCAATTTTGATCTCTAAACCTGTAGATTACAAAAAGAACGTTGATGTTGATCCTTCACGCTCAGCAAAGCAGAAGAGATTTGCTGTACATAAATGCCTAATTCAGGGTTTCCTCTTATGTTTGGGTATCAGTGGGTGTACAGAAAAAAATCAGTGGAAGAACAAGTATGCTGCACACCTGGGTGAAGCAAAATAGTTAGAGGTTGAAAGATTTATTGTGGGCTGTTATGGAGTAATGTTGGAGAGGTGTCTAGGCAGTTCTAGTACGCCCCCTCTGCAGTATTAAAAGCAGCTGATGAGATCACTTTTGTATTTAAAAAAAACCCAAACCAGCAAAATGAAACAACTTTCGTTTCCTTCCATTTGACTAATGGGCTACCTCGATTGCTCAACTGTGGTTAATAAGGCCTTATAGGCAACAAATTTTGAGAAAAATCTATCTTTTGGGAGCATTGGCCAAATGCAGCTTGGAAGACTCTTGTTTTTCAGACTAGCTAGTGCTGGTCTCCCATCAGTCTCCAGCTAGAGGTTCTCCAAATTTTGCTGGTTACCATAGAAAATCTAAGAATTTTGGTGTTATTGGAGATTCACGGTTCTGTGTAAGAATGACGACTTAGTTTTCACGTGGGGGCTGTTTAAATAGTATGCTATTCATGCAGTTATTCCATCAGCTTTTGAGTTAGCACTGAAGTGGTAATTCCCCATGCTGGCAAACAGAGGCAGGATCTGAACAGGCTTCAGCAAAGGAAAGTTGTGGGAGCTCGCTTGTCCATACACCAGAAGGTGTTTACTCTGCTTATTCAGGAGGCGTGTTGAGGATGGCAGAAGTCCTGGGCCCTACGTGTGGGTTGGCAGAGGAGCTTGTGTGGACTTGCTGTGTGGCTGAGGGGACCTGAGCACCACGGGCTTGTGCCAGCAGTTGCAAGAGCTGTTTGAGTTGCTGAGGCATTGGCTGTGTTCTCCATCCAAGGAACTGAGACACCACAGCTCCAAGAGTTCACAGTCTGTGTGCCTTGGCCTTGCAGGGCAGCCAGGAAGATGGGTGTGCATGTGTGTGGATGAGATGACTTGTGTGATCGGTGTTGTGTTTTCAGGGCAAATCATGTCCATGGCATAAAATACAAGAAGCAGTATTGAGCTGTCTTAAACCCAGAGTGCTGGTTGTTACCTTTTGTTTGTAAAATATTTAATATAGCTTGGGCCAGTGTGTTGTGCGTGGCCATGCACAAATATTAGCTGTAACATCCCAATATGCTTATTGGACCTGGTCCTCCACAAATCCCATGGTGTCCGAGAAGAAGGGAGAACCTCAAGTGGTCTTAGAGGGATGGCCTAGAGAGGATGTGTTCTTGAGGAAGTGGCTATGGAGCAGTGTCCTTTCCCAAGCTTTGAGCTCATCCAGAAAACTGAACTCAGCCAGCCTGCAGAGGAGTAAACCTGCACTGCTAGCACAAACTTCGGGAAATCACCTTCTGGTCCTGCTCATCCTGGTGCTGATGCACCAGCCAAGGATGGATGGCTTTCTGCACTGGTTTTCCCACCACCTGATGCTGACAGGAGCACAGGGCAAGGGGATCCATGGGGCATCTCCTGGGGTGGGCCTGGCATCCGCAAACCTTGTGAATACTGATCAAGCTGTAATGCTAATAATGACTGGCCATCAGAGAGTAATGCTTTTTTAATTTGACCAAAAGGCTGTGTTTTAAGGAAATAATTTTTTTTATCTGGGAGTAAGAATTGAATTGTAGTATGTCTTAAATTTCCCAGGTTCCAAGAGAGAGGAGATCTTCAACAGCTAAACCAGAGGTAGAACATCCTGAACAAGACCATAGCAAAAGGTATTATTTTTTATTACTGCTTCTCTGCTTATCTCACTTCCCTCATAGACCACCAAAGCTGCTGAAGGAAAGTAACTTGCTGCACTGTTGTGTTGTGCTGGAAGAGAGAGAATGTTTGCTTTTACTCTGTCCCCTAGATTCCTGTGTTGTCCCAGGAGCAGGATAGGGATTGAAGAGGCTCAAACTGCTTGTTGTTGCCATCCATCTGCTTTTTATGTACTAGTGTCATACAGTCAGCATAGCAAAAGCTGCTCTCTCTGACATTAGGCACAGTCTGGTAGCACAGGCAACCCTTCCCCAGACTGTGGAGGTCACTGGTAACCCTTTTATTTTTGCATGAGGTTACTTCAGTTACTCTCTTCAGATGTTGCTTTTGGGTACCAGCAGCATTGCTGTTTCATGCATTGGGCCAGTAGGGAAGGACTTTGAAGTGCTTGTAGTTTAGTTTTGGGTTGGTATTGCTTGGACTTCCTTTGTATCCTCTGGAACTCCTTTCTTTCTTCCCCTTCCTGCCCTCCTTCTCTCGAGCAGAAAATGGTACTGATTATTACCAATGTGAGGTTTGCTCAGGCCAGGCTTCCACTCCTGCTATCCTCTGTCTTTGGACAGATTAGAACACTTTAAGGACTCGAGGTGAGGTTTTGTGGTCTGGCTGAGCTGACTGATTAGCCTGTTTTTCAGAAGAGCAGTTTGGTTCCCACTGCTCCCCTTGTACCAGCTCTGGTCTTAGACTGACCCATCACCAAGCACGGGAAAAAAAGGTGGCTTGTTCCAGCAGAACAAGCTGAACTGGCTCCTCAAGGATGTAGGGGAGCATCAGAATTGGTGCAAGGGAGCGGGCAGGACCACTTTGTGGGGAGGGAGAAAGGGAGGGCGGGCTGACTTAGTGGCTACTAGCTGTGAGGTCATCTCAGCCACAGATCTGTGTTGTCCTGGCAGAAATGAGTGTGGTGGGGTGGAGAGCGGCAAGTTATGGAAACCACTCGCAGGTGTGGATTTTCTTGGGGGTTTGTGCATGGGAGAGGGGTGTAATTTCCCTGTTAGTGCTTCTCTGGTGGTACACAGTCCTGGGGCAGAGGAGCAGCAACCTTGCTCTGAGTCCTTCTCCCTCTGTCAAAGAGCCGTTCCGTGGAGCCTGTGTGTGCCGATGTGTGGTGGGAAGGGCCTCGAAGCACTTAGTTTTGGACTGCTCCAAGCAGTGAGGATCTGGGACCCTCACCCTTTGCTCCAGGGTAATTCATCTCCAAGGTGGCCTTGGAGATGGGTGAGGAGTGGGTGAGGAGTTTTTGGTTTTTAATGAGTTTATCAGCTTTTCAGGTTAAAATTGAGCTGTTCTGCACAAGTAGGAGAGTTGGTGTCAGCTATCCTTGTCTAAAAGGCTGATAAGTATTTCTAGATCTTGTTTAATGAGAAAATAAGCTGTATAACTTAAGCATGATTTCTTTTTACCCTTTTTAGGAACAGCATCCCAAATGTGACAGAACAGTCGCTCATTTCTGCTGGAGAAAACAGAGTCCAGGTTCTGAAAAATGTGCCTTTCAATATTGTCCTTCCACACACTCCCCAGATGGGCATGGACAAGCGAGGCCACCTCACAACCCCTGACACAACAGTCACCGTTTCGATTGCCACAATGCCCACCCATTCCATCAAAACGGAGACGCAGCCCCATGGCTTTGCCGTGGGCATCCCACCGAGTGTCTACCACCCCGAGCCCCCTGAGCGAGTGGTGGTCTTCGACAGGAACCTCAATCCTGACCAGTTCAGTTCCAACACCCAGCCCCAAAACTCCCAGAGGCGAACACCAGACTCCACCTTCTCGGAGACTTTCAAGGAGGGCGTGCAAGAGGTACCAGGAAAGGCAGTTGCCCTCTTTGTGTGTGTGTGTGTGCGCGTCTTGATCTGGACAGAGAGGTCCAGTTCCATCTTTAACTGTTCTTGTTACATGAGTCAGAAATCTGTCCAGTGGTTTAGGAATAGGAGGCTTTCTCAGAAAGGTGCATAAGAATAACTTAAAATAAAACCTTCACAACATGAAATCATTATCAAAAGCAAATGACTAATCTTACCGGCGACAGAGGCTTTGGCTTGCATACTGTGGAAAGGGTTGTCTCAATCCACAGCACTGAGCCAGGTTTTGCAAGAGTTTAGCACTCCGTGGTGCCTTTGCAGGTACCAAACTGAAGTGACTATGTCTGTAAGCTTTCTTACTGCCAGTTTCTAGGTGTGGTGTGTATCAGTGGAAAACAGTTGGATTATGTAGGGGCCTTGAGTGAGAGTTAAACCTGGATGAAAATCCGTGGGGTTTGTTTTATGGTACCAACTGAAAACAAGAGTGTTGATGTGTTTGATTTTTAAACCAAACCTTAAAGAGCTATGTAGCTATGCCCTTTCTTTGAGATTTGGGAAAGTTTTAAAATGTTGCTCTAAGCTAACTCAGAAGGCTTGTCAGATGTTGTTCTTAGTTGACACCCAGAAGTTTTGGGTTAAAACAGTGCTCTAGTGTCCTGTTAGTACAGACCAAAAATCAGTTGTTATCTGATGATCAGTTTGCTTGCCAGAAGTTTTGTGGTAATGAGTATTGGTTTAATCTTAACTTTTCTTGTTGCTGTTGTGTTAATTGTTGTGTTTCGTTTTGTGTCTACCCCAGGTTTTCTTTCCTACTGAATTGAATCTGCGAATGGCCAACATGAATTCAGAAGACTATGTTTTTGACAGCATTTCTGGGTAATGTTTTAAGGCCCCCATTTGCCCATATTCTCCTATTCTCTTACAGTCATCCCCAAGCAAACGGTACAGCTCATGCCATTGTGCACCAAGTCTCAGTCAGATACTGGAGGGGCTGTGGATCTCAAAACCACAACAACGTCTGCTCATTTGAATTTCACAGCTGAAAATCCTACCTTTGTCTTTAAAGAAAACTACTTTCAGGAAAACTACTTGCAGGGTTGGAAATACACCCGGCTTGGGTCGCTGTCCTTGCACCAGTGCCTTGTCCCATGGGAAGGTGCACTGCTATCTGTCAGCTTTTGGTGGTCTGGGAATTTGCTTCCAGCTGTGTCCCTCTCCCTGGTCAGCTTGTCTTGCTCTCTCTCTCTGCTGGAAATCTACAGCAGAAATAGGAGCTCATCTGAATTCCAAGGGAGGGGAGCAGTTTAGTTGTTTGATTAGTTGCAGTTGACCAAGAGGGCCATGGTCACTGAATAGGTTATTAGCTTGTGAATTTAATTAAATTGCTAATAGATACTTTTCTGTTCCATGAGAGCAGCTTGCTGCTCTCAGCCTGAATAAGGATCTTCCATTCTTGCCTGCTGATGTGTCTTGGGATTTAGCTTGCCAAGAACTTCTCTTAAATGTTCATTCATGAAGGAAATGGTGGAAAAAGGGGCTCATCCTGTTTTCCAACTTCCTTGCCTGTTGATGGCTTAATGAGTCAACTAACAACTTTGGAATTTCTCCAAATTAAATGTGGAATGTTTAGTTGGCTTTCCAGGAAAATGCCTTAGCAATCACTACCCTCTTTGCTCTATAGGAATAACTTTGAATACACTCTGGAAGCCTCCAAGTCCCTCCGACAGAAGCCTGGGGACAGCACAATGACTTACTTGAACAAAGGTCAATTTTACCCCATCACGCTGAAAGAAGTCAGCAGCAGTGAAGGAATCCATCACCCCATCAGTAAAGTCCGAGTGAGTGGCAGCTCTTGTGGTTTCTTGGGAAAGAGGGTGTGTACAGTGGTGGCCTTAAACTCTCCCAAAGTGCAGTAATCTAAACTAGAGCATCAGCACTAAGGCCAGCTTACCCTACTCTTACGTCAACGTTTGTTCCTTTGCTGTCCACCTACTTCCAGACCAACCCATCCTGGCTCAGTCTGTTAAGAAGTGGTGTCAGCACTTGTGTGAAGGTGATGCAACACCTGGAATGAGATCCTTGAATTCTAGTCAGGAGAGCAGCTCTGCTCATCTCTGTTTATGACCCAGAAAGTGATGCCGTCTGTCTTCCAGTTTGGCAGCGGTGTGGCAGGTACACCTCAAGTGTGATGCCTCAAGTGGGAAAGCCTAAAGCAAAAAACCTGATACCAATGAGAACTTCCAAAACAAATGTACTCTCTGGTCTTTTATCTTTCACATTTTTGTTTTTCTTTTCTTTTTTTTTTTTTTTTTTTTCCAATCTTTTCCCTCCTCTCCTTTCAGAGTGTCATTATGGTCGTGTTTGCTGAAGACAAAACAAGGGAAGATCAGCTCAGGCACTGGAAATACTGGCACTCAAGGCAGCACACGGCCAAACAAAGATGCATTGACATAGGTAAGGAACACTCTCATTGCTGATGTCAAACTTCATGCCTAATTCCTTGGCAAGGTTTGGTTTTCTGCTAAAGCTTTGTTATTTTAAGGAACACTCTCTCCTATCCATGGGTTTGCTGAAAGCCCAGAGAGAGCTTTTGATTGCTTGGAGCTAATGCAGTTTTTAGGACTCCCTAAAGAAGCTGATCTTTGGAGGATTTGGGTTGGTGGGTTTTGCATCTAACACCCCCTTCCAAACAACAGTTGCTTTGGCATATCCTGGTGCTTGCAGCTAAATCACAGCTTGTAGTCTCAGTGGCTGTCCTAAATATTGTGTTTCTTCAAAGGGCAAGATCCTCATAGAAATACCTCAACACTAATGATCCTCCTTCCCACAACTTTGCTCACAACTGGTCTTTGGTACATGAAAAAAAAGAAAACACTGCAAATTTCCACTTGCCTCCAGACAAGGCTTGGGCTGGCTGACTTCCAGCCTTCTCTGGCTGAAGCCTTGGTTGTTCTCCTCGTCCCTTCCTTCTGTGAATCAAAGCAGGAATTAATCACTTGGCGCTTAAAGCAGACGCGCATGCAAATCTTTGTTTGTTATTGAAGGAGTTTTATTGAGAGCTTATGTCCTTGCTGTACAGGGTAGAGTTTCCTGCACATAGCAGGTTATGGCACAGAACACCTGATATTTGGGATGTCTTCCTTTCTCACTGGAGTTTCTAGTTTAGAATTTCTGCAAGTCCCATTTTCCTCCTTCCTCACATTTGTTGGGGTTAAAAAGCCATTTCCAGGCTTTTTAATGATCCGTTCCTAAGTACAGTTCAGCTTCCTCTGCTGAAGAGTTGCAGTTTCTGGCTGCTTTGTGTGATTAAGGACTTTACATGGCATGTCTTCTTCCTTTCCCTCATAAATCCTTCTTTCTAACAGCTGACTACAAGGAGAGCTTTAACACCATCAGTAACATCGAGGAGATCGCGTACAATGCCATATCCTTCACTTGGGACATCAATGAGGAAGCGAAGGTATGTGACCACGATTATATTTCCTGTCCTTTTAGCAGATTCAGGGGCTGGGGGAGGGGGAAGGGTGTGTGGCCTACCTGGTGATTAGCATGTAACAAGTTTGTTTACGCTCTTACATTAGGCAAAACCTTCTGGCTATTTCTTAAGAGGGTTTGGATGTGCAACTGGGAGAGCTTTGCAACTGCTTCAAGGTTCTTGGCAGAACCGCCTGCCTGACAGACAAGTACTGACAAAAGGAAGCACTGAGCGTTTCCAGAGCTGATGAAGTGGTGCGGGAGGTGTGATGGAGCATAGCTGGGCTTGGCAGCGAGCACAGCCTCCTAAAGGATCCCTGTGGGAGGCAGGGGCAGCTTCTGAGGGAGTTAAGGCTGTAGCAATGGGCTTGCCTTCAGCAGAAGAGGGAGCAGCAGCTGCTTCTGAGCTCCCAAAGCGTGCATTGCTTAAACCACAGGTCCCAACACCCAGTGACCTATTTCAAAGTAGAGCAGCCTCCTGGTGAACCCTGGTTTGATCTTTTCTCAGAACTATGGGCACTGTGGCAGGTGTGTAGGTACAGGCAGCATCCCTAGCTAGTAGCTAACTGCAGCTGTTTGAGCCACTCCAGCTTTTGGAAAAGGCCTGTATATCTTTCAGGTGCAAGGACAGCAGGTCAGAGAGCCGAGTTAACTCAATTCCAAAGGCATTTCCCACCAGTTTGTTGCTGGAGTCAAAGAGCAGAAGTTTTTCTTTGGAGAGTCTTGGATTTTCATGAAAAATTGGGAATGGTTTCCTTCAGTTTTTGGAGACTGGCTCTTCCCTTGCTAGTGTGTTATGTGCTAGTCACCAGCATCTTGGGGAAAACTACTGATGGCTGCAGAGTGCCATGTCTGGGGAGAGCCTGGCTTGGGGGACATGGGAACTCTCAGCAGAGAGCACAGGTCCTTCTCTGGAGCAGTGTGTGCCAGTGTGCTCTGCAGGAGGAACAAGGGCTGGTGTCACCGCACAGAGCTCTGTCTCACCACGAACTTTGCTCTGTGCTGCACAGTGACTGTGGAGAAGAGGTTATATGGGGACTGCTGTCAGGTTTCAGCTCTGTGGGAGACGTTTAGGATGCTTGGCAGACAGCAGTGAGGAGCTGTGTGTGCTGCTGCTGAAAGTGCTGCCTTGCACCATGTGTGACATTGCTTGTGAGGCGGGTGTTGGGTGCCAGGCTTCCCTGTTCGCCAGGTTTGGCTTCAGTCAGGTTTAGAGGGCTGGCAGCAAGGGCCTTACCTGCTGGAGAATACTAAAAGGCTGAGATGATTTCTGAAACATGAAGCACTTTACTATGTGAACAAGCAGATGATGCTTCCAAAGGGCTGTCAAAAAGAGTCAGTGTTATCCCGCTGCCATAGCCCGTCAGACATTTAACAAACCTGGGTAGTCAGTGTCTACAGGGTACTCAAAGGCTTAGGATTTGCACACAGGGGTGGATCATGGAGACAGAGCAATTCAACTCCTCGGGGAGCTGGAAGCATTTTCTGCAGCTGCCTCTCTACTGGCTGAGCCATTCTGCAGCAGTAGGGATGGGTCACTAACACAGGAGCAGGGCTTCGAAGTGGTGCAGAGAACCATGTGGCTGCCCCAAGGAAAGCCATCCCTTCCTACCAGGTAGTTATTGCCCAGTCACTCTACAGGCACCTAAATGAGTAGTTTCAGCCTATGGTATAGCATATTAGAAAGTTCTGAGGACCCTCATGGTGATACTTCTTCTCAGGACTGAACTTCATGGGATGAAGTGGTGTGTGCTGGTGTGAGACAAACTGATTTTGTACCTGGACAGGCAAATTTTCTTCCAGATTCACAGTCTTAGTGTGTGAGATCCATATATTGTGAGTACTGGTTTGTATGAACCTGCAGAGGGGACTGTTGATACCAAATGTGCAAGCCTTGGCTCCTGGTATCAGAATCATATTTAGATAAAAATAGTCTCAACTTCAGTGTTTAAAGAATTGGCATTTTTAGCAAGTGCTCTGTGTGTTTAAGTGTCTGTTTAACTTTGGTATTTTCCCGGAGTGGATGTGTTTTGTCAATGGTTGAATTTCTCACCAGTAGAGCTGCAGTTCTTTCTCAACTTCTGTGATCTTATCAGGAGATGTCTGAGCCAATTTCAACAATTTTTATTGCATGGTTCATTTACCTTGCATGCTCTTGCTCTCTCCTTTCCCTCCCCCACTGCCCCCCCAACAGTAGTCTTAAAGTATATGAAGAGAGCAAGGATTAGGCAGAGCTGAGTTTCTAATGCTGCAGAAAGTCCTTCACAGTAATAAATACAGTGTTTTATGTTTAATAACAGCAGAAGTGCTGCGTAGATGGTGTGTTTAACCAGCCAGCAAGCTTTGATTATTAGAAATTTGCTTCCTGAGCCCTGGAGTTACCTGGACCGGAGCCAGGTGATTCTTCTGGACTTGCTGCTCCTCCTGTTTCCCTCTTGCTTTTGCTTCCAGTTTGCTGTGTGAATGATTTGATCCCAGTGTCAAGCAGCATTGCAGCAGTGTCAGGTGGGAGGTGATGAGGCTCTGTGTCTGGGATTTCTGACGTAGTTATTCATTTAAGCACCCAAGACTCTGGGTGTGTGTCATATTTAATGTAGAAGTAGCATATTATCACAAGATGTTGCCCCTAGCAGCTCTGGGACCAAGTTCTTGCCTTTTTGTGGGCATGTGCAGGGATATTGCACCTCTGCCACTGTGTCTGTTCAGGAGGGTGTCACCTGCCAGACAGAGTGCTTTGCCAGTCCCCTTAGGGCACTGTGGGGATTTAGCAAACTACACCTTTCTGGTGAAGAAATGCTCCTTTCACACAGTGAGTCATGTGCTTCCTCTGTAGCAAGGAAAATGTGTGGATTTTGCAGCTGTGGAGTTGTGGGATGGAAAAAAAAAATTTGAGATGCCCTCAGCAACAAGTATTTCCCATTTCCCAGTTGCATTGTGCTGGGAGAGCTGAGAGTAAGGCTTTGGTCACTGGATGCGTCGGATGCACCTGGCTCTGCGTGGATGGGATTGTCACACAGCTGGCTGCGTTGGTGTGCTGTTTGTGAGCCCATGGGTGTAGAAACCAGGAGGATTTCATGGATGACAGACCGTGTCCATGGATTTCAGAGCAAATTTGCTTCTCTGGCAGCTCCCCTCTGCCCTCTTCTGTTGTTTTGGGACATCACAGGATCTGCTGGAAGCAGCTGCTTCATAGAAGAGGTTGGGTTAAGTATTCTCTGACCTTTGCAAGAGTGTGTTCAAGCTGGAAAAGGGCCCAGGATCCAAAGCCTCACTGCTCTGAGACGGTGAAGGGAGCTGAGGGTGGGGGGAGGAAGAGGAAAAGGCAAACTGCCCTGAAGTAGTGCTGTTGAGATTAAAAGGAGAGTGAAGTCAGGGTTAGAAAGATTGTCAGGAAACACTGTGGAGTGATGAAGTGGTAATTCAGATGGACTTTCAGGTGTCTCTGTTAGGGGTGAGGTCTGACCCCATCACTTCACAGACCAAGGAAGGGGAATAATTGGATGAGGAGACAATCGTGCTTTTAGAGAAGGAAAGGGAAGATGGTGAACTGGAAAATTTCGTTTTAGATGAACTGGTGAGTTGTTGAATAGGATATTTAAGATATTTAAAATATTTAAGATATTTAAAATATTTAAGATATTTAAGAAAGCCAGTGTAGCTGCTCAGTCAGGAGCCATCCTGCTTGGGTGGAAGCGTGATTCGATGAGTCTGACAAAGATGTGTAGCTGATACTCACTTGCACGCAACAAGTAACGCTGGAGTTACCCTGAGGCTTGTGGAGACTTCAAACAGTTTCCCACCCCATCCTGGATGTCTGCCGTGTTGGGCAGACAGTCGAGGTGGGGTTCTTCTCCTGCAAAGAAGCTTTTAGATGTCTGAGCACACGCTCGTCATCTTTCACATCTATGACTTCATTAGGGATAGGGTGTCTAGAGCTGGGATGAAGTTTTCTCTGGAGGTGCCTACCCCTTGTTGTTGACTGAGCAGGCTTCTTCAGAACTGGGATTTTAAAGGAAGGGAGGAGAAGTCATGTCCTTGCAGCCCTTTTTGTGTCTTTGACCTCTGTATGTCAGTCAGGAGAAGCATTTATAGGTTCAGATCATGAGTTTTTGAGGTTGGGAGCCATAAAGTCCCAGGTACAACACGCCTGGTTCCCCATTACACGTCTTTTAATGAAAATTGCCGTCATGTGCACAGTTAAATGCACACCTCATGCTGCTCTTCGTACTGTTGGCTGTTGTCCTGTTACCTCTGTTGTGTTACCCGTTAGGCTGTGAAGCAAATTCTCTGTCCCTTAACTCTGGCCTGGGGACATGGCCTGTTCTCAGGTCAGTGGCAGTTGAAAAATCTGGACAGATTGGTTTCCCCGGGGTTAACTGGCTTTGCTGGATCCTGCTTTGCACAAATCTTGTCTGAGCTCCTGCCCTGTGGAACAGGAGGGTTGGGGCCTCCCATCTGAACAGAGCGAGTTGTGTGCGCGGTGATTGCGAGATCCTCCTTGCCCTGTTTTTGTAGCTATAGCGCTGCAAGGACCCTGCTCTTGTGCTGGGGCACCCCTTCAGTGCTTCCCAATGGGTTTCTTCTGAAACATAGCATTGCTTAAAGCAGCTCCCAGCGAAGGGCCCCCGTAGAGGTCTTCTGTCTGGCTCGCTTAAGGCTGGATGGTGGGACTGTCGCCAAAAATGATGTCATTGCACATTAAGGGCATTGTCCTCCTACTCCTTCCCTCCAAAAAAAAGCATTGTAAGCCAGATGCTCTGTGTGAAAAGACCCTTTCTACTAAGAAGGGTGTGAGTGCAATAAGCATTTTGAGCTGGAGAATATCAGGGTAGAGCTTTTTCTGCCTTTTCACTACGGGAAGGTGCTCTATTATCTCTTAAGTGATGCCCTGAATGACAGAGCAATTAATCAATGCTTCTTTTTTTCTTGTCCGGAAGAGCTGAATGGTCTTATATTACAGTAATTTTTGTCTAATTTGAGATGGCT